ATAATAATAATAATAATAATAACTTTATTGATGTCTCTAATTCTTCTAGCCGGGCACAAGTGCCCTACAAATCAGGGAGGATGTATAGGCTTCTTGCCCCTGCTTTTGGTACTTAGAACTCTAAATTCGATTTGGGGTATTAAACATGTTCCCATTTTAGAGCACATAATTGAGTATGTCATTTACTTGGATTTTGTTTCTTTGTTTACCAGTAACCATTGAGAAGATAGATGTACCACAAACACAACATGTATAGTTCACCATTTTAGCCACTTTGTACAAAAACTCCAGTAGAAGGGGTTTGTAAGCCATCTTTAAACATACCTGTTGCTGGAAGCCATAATTATGATACTGAATATTAGGGTCCTGTTGAGTTGGTCCAACAGCTTGTCCTTGGGCAACAGATAACTGAGGTGATGTTAAATGGGGTTGTGTTTGGTCAAGTTGTTGCATTAAAGGCTGAGGAGGTGCCATTGGTTGTGAAGGGGGGAGACCATACTGAAGTGGAACTGCTTGACCACCTGGTGTTTGGGAAGGAATACTTTGGGTGCCATTGGTGACTTGTGATGTTTGCCATCCACCTAACCAACAAAAAGGCATCCAAACTGATTATGTTATCCACTGCAGCCATAAAAAGAGTGCAATTCAACAGCATGTAAGAAAAACTAAATAAATAACAAGAACTGGTAATGTCCAAATAATGCATGGCTACCAATGCATTTGATAGTGTACAGAAAAAATAGTGTGGAACATCAAGTTGGTTCTATATATGTATAGTCAATCGCATGGTCTGAAATAATTGTCTATCCAGTCATCAGAGATGACTACAATTTTTAATTCATGACTAGATCATTTCCAATAAATATGGTTACAGCTCACAACAAAAATTTGTCCCAAGCCTATTTGCAGTGTTTGTTACAAAAGGGTTTTTCTCAATGTTTTTCATAATAATCAATAATATTAAGGCCCCGTTCACAAGTACCCAGAAATTTTTGTATCCGCAATTTTTTTTTTCGGATACGGGTTGCGTCCACACATGTCCAGAAAAGTTTGTATCCATATCCAGAAATTTTCGAAAACGGTCTCCAGAGTGGAAATTTTGGAATACGCTCTGAATACAGATACGTGTGGACACGTGGATATCAGTCACCATACTGTCATAATTGTAGAAATATTGCTGACCAAGATTTTCGCTGGATGCCTTAATCCTAAAACATGGTTGTTTAATGGTCAACCTCTTAAAAGTTTAGACCCTGAATCTTCATTGTAATTATTATTTCTATTTCATGAATAGGGAGATGGTTGACTGGAGACATAATAATGTACCTGATTGATTCTGATTTGTTACTGCAGTCAAAGAAGTTGATCCAGCTGGAAAACCTGGCAGCATTTGTTCTGGCACTGGTTGGGGTATGAATGTTTTAGCTGGAGACTGAATAAAAAGAAGTGCTCATAAGTGGTATAATAAACAAACATCTAATCACTGACTAGAACTGTTTTCTGTTACAAATTAAGGAAAATAGATATGGGCCATAGAAAGCATTTAAAGGCTGGAGATAGAGATGTCAAACAATTATTTTTTAATTTATGAAATGTGTTTTTGTCACTCGGTAAAGATCTATATGTTAAGTACTGTATATACTACATCAAGTGTATAAGCAGATTTTAAAATTCTCAGGATTCGAACCAATGACCTCTCATTTGTTAGACAAGATCTCAACAGCTCGGCCACTGAGGCTTTACGGGAGAAGGTCATATTAGATCTATATTTTAATCGTCTAGCAAATAAGAGGTCAGTGGTTCAAGTTCCGCAAGAACCCAACTGAGGCAGAGTTAATCTGCTTATACACTTGTTGTAGCATACACTTAACATATCAATTTTTTAATTTATCTTTTGGATTTCCCTGAAAAATGTACATCTTTTATTATGACCACTCCTCTGGAACTGACTAGTTATCTGGATCACATAATTATGTAATAAACGAGTTAGATTACCAAATATTTTAAAAAAAATTGTAACTAGAATAAAATGAGTGGTACATGTAAGTACCTGGTGAAGACCTTGTTGTGGTACTGGTCCACTACCTGGTTTAGACATCTGGTGCTCAGACCATTGACCATTCCCTGGTCCCACTAAACCCATTGGTCCAGGTGGTGCTGCCTGCTGACCCTGACCATGTCTATCAAAACTAGCTTCCACACCATGAACTACAGGTCTATCCATCTGTCCACTGGGGCCTCCAATTGGTTGTCCAAGTAAAGGTTGTGGGGCTATAACTGGTGGTCCCTGAGCTTCTGCAGGTCTGAAATCTTGTAGCAATGGCTGTGGAGGTGCTTGCTGCATCTGCTGGGACTGCTGTGGGTTATTTTGTGGTGACATTAGCCACTGTTGCTGCTGTTGTTGTATTAGTGGTTGTGGTTGTACCTGGGACTGCATTAGTGCTTGGAGTTGTTGTCGTTGAGGTTGTGATTGGTTAACTGGTCGTATACCCATGCTTCCTGGCTGTGGCTGTTCCATTTGGGGTACAAATGCCTGGTTTGCTACTCTCTACAAATAATAAAAAGACCATATATATGGCATCAAATGAGGGCATGCATTTATAGTGGCAGATCCAGGATAAGGGGGTGACTATTACAAAGGTTTTACCAGGAATGCAAGGGAAAAGTGGGGTGACTATATAATCATATCAAAATACAGAGAAATACTCTGGGTTGGAAAACATGAATTTTACCAGTGTTTTCGATATTCTGAAAACACTGACATTTTAACAGCTTGTTGTGAAATTGGTTTTCCACTGCTGCCAGTTATTAATATCAAAGGTAACATCTGAATATTTTTATTGACAGCAATGAAAAAGCAAAGTTTAGAATGCAGCTGACAACTACTGAGTTCACAGGATAATATTTTAAAACTGCAGTAACATGACTAGCACTTACTTGTTTACTAGTAATTGTAAAAGGGTAATGTCTGAACAATAATAATTTGCAGGTGATTTGACTAGGAGCATAAAGCATGATTTTAATGATCAAAAAAAGAATTAATTACTGTAATCCCATCAAGCACTGTAGAGAAAATCTAAGCTTGTAAGAAACTTTTTCAAGAGCGTTGAAGCCATGAAAAATAACCTGACTGTTGAAGGTGAAGGTAATTTCTTAGTCTTATCTGGGCAGTATATTCTTTAAAGTAGAACATTTTAAGCATGAAATTATTGGCTTATTTCACCCTGCTCTTCAAGGATTGGAGGTGCCAAAAAGCATGGCATTGATTCTTTTTCAAAAACATGTTTAACGATCTGCTGGCTATTCGGTTTTCCTCATTGATCACCTAGATTAGATCTTATAAATTAGTCACACCCTCAAAAAGGGAGTACTGCAAGGGCAGATCCAGGGGGAGCAAAGGGGACCTGAGACCCCCCCCTTCATCAGAAAAAATGATGCTTCCGTTGTGTTGACGGAAGAAACTCAATTAGACCCCCCCCCCCCCCACTAAAATTTTGGCTGGATCCACCCTTGTACTGTAAAACAGATTACTAAATGGTACAGTGTAGATAGTCATTAAATTTATGATTTTTGGGATTATATCAATATTCACAGCAGTTGCTGTAAAACCCATCAATTTATAATATAATAAAAGAAGGTCAAACCAACCTCCTCAGGGGGTTGTTGTGCAAAAACATTGCCATTGCTATTCGAGTCCATTAATGGTCTTGCTGGACCATTTCTAAAGACAGCACATCTTGGATCAGCAGTGGCAGCCATTCCTCTAGGACAAAACCCCCTTGGTCCTCCTTGCCTTGGACCTGAGCAAACCATTTGAAAAACAAATAACTTTACTTTGTTATTTTTCTTGAATAAAGGTGGTAGTTTCTCTGTGAAACGCAAAGAGTTTGTGGCCATTGTTTCTGTGCATCCTTTCTGTGTGCACTCTTGAGCTTTTTTAAATGAGCAAAAAAAAAATGGATGGATGATTTTGTATTCATTACAAATGGGATCAAAATAATACAAATCAGTGGCCAAATTTTCAAAGTTTGCAGCTCAATATTGCAAAATATTATGGAAAGTTAAATCCCATTCCCAACCAAAGAGAATTGCTACTAATAACATTACAAAAACTTGAAACAGGATTCAATGTGTGCTTTCTAGCATTCAGTGGCAAGACTGGAACTTTGTTTGATGAGTTGTGTCAAATATAGCATGAGTGCCCAAAATTTATTAAAAACTGCTTTACAAAAAAATTATCTTTTTTTAAAAGCTTTACTACAAAGCAATAAGTATTTATGTTATTGGTTTGCAATTCCTTTTGGTAGCAAACAGACTTTAACATGGCAGTGAAAGTTTCAAGATCGGTAGTGAACATGACTGTGGTGAAAGTACTGTAAATGGTAGTGAAAGTAAATGGTAGCAAAACGTACTAGGTACCATACAGACCTGGTCCTCTAAGTGGGATGTCAGCCATAAGTGGGCGTGGTCCTCTGACTAGATGACCTCCTATAAGAGGTCTTTGGGGTGGACTTCCCATTCTTGCACCAGCTTCTCTTATCAATGGCCTTACAATCATTTCTGCTCTTTGACTGCACACCTGCTAAATTGATAATAAATAACCCTTTGAGAAATACAGACAAGATACCTATATCAGGGTAAAGTTTAATCCATTTATTACATCCATTTTGAAATCACAATCAATTCCTGCAATCTGATTGGGTCCCTGCAGCAGTGATTTCAGCCTAAATTGCACGATTTTGAGCTCTAAATTGCACGATTTTGCACATCAACTGATATGAACCAATCACAAGAGAGACATGCCATTTTCCAGCCAATTATATCAAGGAATCCATCTGAGTGTTGAGCTCACCGCTTCTTGCGGGAAAAAAAAAAGCCACGGCTCAAAAAAAAATTTACTGAAGAACGATTTTACCGTCAAAAGTCGTAAAAAAAGACTGAAAAAGCCATATAAAAAGGACTTAAAAAGACCAACTGATCACTTAAGATTGTCAAAAGCATCTTTGTAAAGTAGCTGCTTAAATATAAAGTTGAAGATATTACAGCGAAAAGCAGTGGGGGAAAATGCAATCAGCATTTTTGAATGTGACTTCTTGGTGATTGACCGTGGTTTCCTTTTCAATCTGATTTTTGCTGAGCTACGTGACTTCTTAAGGACAACCGAAGGACTAAACAATCTTTGATTTTTGCTGTTTTCTCTGCACAAGTGTGATCTTAACATGTTGAACAGAAATCGTAAAAATACAAGCAGTGAGCATTGGCTGCATGTATGGACAACAGCCAGTTCATTAAAACCCTTTTGGGCAGGATTGTTTTGCTATTTAATGTAAGTAATTGAAAGTGTTGGTTTACAAAATGAGAATCATTGCTCGATCAATATAAACAAGTTCTCTTGACAGCATGTTTGAATCGACTGCTTGTAGATTGTAAGTCATGTCGGTTTAACTGGAAAAAACGTCTTTTTCAAAAAATATTTCAAAAAGGACATAATAAAGTGGTAATTGAACTTCGTGTCGTGAAATTTTGGTCTGAAATCAAACTTGCAATTACAAATCGCACTACTGCTACGCGGTCGTGCCTTTTTGTAATCGCGCATTTGATTTCAGACCAAATTGCACTCCACTCAGTTCAATTACCAAATGTAAATCAAGATTATGATCCATCAAGATTTCTTTCAAACCTGTGCTGGAGACCTTTGTGAAATCAAAGGTACTGGAAACCTAGCTGCAGGTCCTCTTACTTCAATATTCTGAATATGTGGACTGTGGACCATCAGAGGTCTTGCCATTAATGGGTGTGGCATTGATGGTGGCATGGGTTGAGCTGACCACTGAGGTACCATTGCTCTAATGTCAGCTGGTCCAGCTTGTATTAAAGGTATTTGATTCACAACCTGTGGAACATGAAGAGTAATTTTTTTATCAACAATTCCTTTACTGCTAGACTTTTTTCTTAATGACGTTCATGGGCAAAAGATCCCATCGTCAAATTTTTTATTTTATTTTGAAAGAACATCATACTAGAGGTAAAATAAGTATGTATTAAATGTATTAAAGGTATTTGATTCACAACCTGTGGAACATGAAGTTTGTTTTTTTTTTCATTTAAATCTATGAGAGATGAAAGACGTTTTATGATATTTTGCTCATCAAAACATTGGAATGACATTATCACAATGAGCGCAAGCTCACTATGTTTATGAGTAGAAAGGATGCGCGAAAACAATGCCCATGAACATCTTTAAATGACTTTACTATGAAAATCAGATGGATGTTTCGATGCTTATCTAGCATCTTTTCCAAGTGTCTATTGGAAGCCAACAAACTGCTTATATTACGTTACTGCTATTTTCAATATTAGTTGAATTCAGTAGTAGTATTTTCCCATTTGGAATTTGGCTTTTTACTGACCCTAGCTCAATGGCATTGGAAAGCCAAAGTGCAACATTCAGAAAAACCTGATTCCCAATAATTTATTATTATACCAAATACAATACAAATTGTGTATATATAGCAGTGACAGCTTTCGCTTGATCAGTCTCTAACAAAAAGATGTTCAGCATCGACTTCTAAATATTGCAAAATGGTTTGGCTCAAGATATACTTCATACCTGTGAAACATTGTTTGTGGGTTGAAGACCTAGAATACTAGCTCCTGTCCTTCCAGGAGTGCCATAAGCAACTCGTATATTAGATCCTTCTATTTGAGCTCCATTGTGAGCTTTTAGTCCTCTCTCAGCATCAATACTAGTCGCATAGTCCACAAAAGCAAACCCTCTTGATGCCCCTGTTTGGTGATTCACTGCAACCTATATTATAAACAATACATTGAACATCAAATATTCACCACCTTCACATATCTTGATTGACTGTTTCAGGCTGTAGAAATTGATTCTTTAAGGACTTATTTTGCATTTTTGACTTAATGGTTCCTTGTAACATATTAATTGCACCCCCCCCCCCCCTCTTCCAGTCAAAAGCCATGTGATTGATGGTAAGCAAGATTGCACTGTATATGTAATTACATTGGTTTACTGGTTTATACTGCGGTTTTCAATATGCTGACTCTGTAGTCGTGAGATGCATGATGGATTTGATTTTTCACTCCGCCAGTCAAAACTTAAAAGGTACTGACTGATTATTTTTGATTGACCGAAGCCAAAAACCAAATTTCAGTATGCAGCTGGCAACTTTGGTGTCAGCATAATTATGGAGACTGCAGTTACACAAAGCACTAATTTGAGTCTATGCACAAGTTTCAAATTTACTTCTTGTTTCAGAACTCTTCTAAGAGAGCCGAGGCCAAATATTGAGTGGTAGTGTGTGTGAGTGAAAAGTGTCCCCAATTAGTGCAGAAGCAATAGAATGACTACATGTAGATACTTAAATAAAGAGAGTTATTTGTTTATATTGGAAAAATATTGGGTCTAGGTTAAAAAAAGCTTGCTCCCAAATTTTTATATTTCGTCTTCAAGGTTTTTCAAGAAATACAAAAAATTAGATCATCATAAGTACTGTCAATGAAAAAGAAAAAAGAAAAGAAAGAGGGAGGAAAAGATAATAAAAAGTGAGGGATGAAATTGAAACTTGTGGTGCTTGATAATTACCTGAGCAAAAGTTACAGTCCCTGTTCTGCTAAATATTTCTTGGAGTACTTCTCCATTAGTGAAATCTCTTGGAAGTTTATCGATAAAAAGAGTCTTGGAATGCAAGCCCTCATATGTACAGGTAGTTAGATTAGGCTCTGCAAAGTCAACTCTCAATATACGACCACCAATATACTTTGATCCCGTATTCATTAAACTCTGCTTTGCCTGTGCTGCCAACTCTTTGTTGGAATATTCTACAAAACCATATCCCTTGCTTTCACCAGTGACTTCACTTCTCACAAGAAATATCCTCTCAATTGAACCATACTGCTTCATAAGTACCTCAAATTGTTCTTCGCTAAAGTCAAATGGTAGATTTCCAACAAATAGCAAACTATCTGGTTGGACAAATTCAGCCTTGATGGCATGACCATTGAATATTCTGTTGTTAAGAGCTTTAATTGCAGTTTCTGCTTGTTCTGCATTGCTGAATAATATCGTAACTATCAGAGGAAAATGAAGAAAAGTTTTATTGAGTAGTTATAAGATGGAGCTAACAATGAATAAAGGTAATGCATGATCATTACTGTCACCATAATGTAACCTGCCAATGTTTGAGCCAGGATTTTCACAAGAGATTCATTTTAAACTGATACTGTTACCTACATGTACATGTACAAGTAAATTTTTTATCTTAGCGGTCTTTATGGGTCATGTTTTTTTTCTTCCTGGTGCAACTTTGGCAGGGCCTAGCTCAAACCCTCATAGCTAAGGCATATCATCCTGAAAAATTATCTATTAGTCACTAAACAAATAAAGTTTGAATGGTTCAACAGTTTCAGCCTCATGTACTCCCAATACACATAACCATACTCATAATCATTAAATGAGAACACTAAGAAGTTTGAACAGGAACCTGATACCCTTGATCTATCAACCAATATTGGGATATTAACAAAAAATCAACTAACCTGCATTTTTCTCAAATTTTATATCATCTGCATTGTGGCCTTGCAAAAGCGTTTTTTTAAATTCCTATAAAATGCAATTAAACTAGAGTTAGATATTGACAGACTCTTGGGCAACAGTATAGTGTAAGTGGCAACTTGAGTGGTTAATGTCTAGCACTTGCATATCCATTTCTATTACACATAAATCTAGGGCACACAGCTACAGTCTGGCTTTTCCTTCGTAGTAGGGGCAACACATTCAATGTAGTAGTATAGGGAATGGGGGTTCCAGCGCAATCTCAACACGGGCAAGACCCGTGTCAAAAATCCACCTACGGAAACAACCCACTCCAAGTGTGGTTGGGGGCAACAGCGCAAATATGTTAGTCTATATATGGAGTGCGAAGAATGTAAGAG